CCGCGCGCGACGGTGCTCACGGCGCTCCTGGCCTCGTACAACCGGCTTGGTGCCGCCCCGCGGATGCTCGACCACCTAGAAGCGGAATACGGATTCTTGCCTCCCAACCAGCGCCCGAGAGGGCCACATATTCCGCTGTACTCCTCTGTCCTCCTCTCCCTTGTCTTCACGCGGTGCTCTGAAGACGCCGCACAATACCGTCTTCCCGCCCCGAGGCTGGCGTAAAGGCACGTTAGGCTAGCGCAGCATGGCCATTCGCTCAAGAAGCTCCACCTGGGCTGCAACGGCGTGACTTGCGTGGCGGAGGCGCTGCCCCCACCTCACCGCCGCTGCGGTGTGAACAGCGCCTCTTCACACCTCGAGCCGTGAACAGGTGCTCCCCCACCTCACGCGGCTCACCGAGCTCTGCCTCGAGGGCAACCGGCTCTCGGAGCTGCCCGCGGCGATTGGCCGGCTCGACAAGCTTCGCGAGCTGTGGCTGCACGGTAATCTCGGGTGATCTCGGGTAATCTCGGTAATCTCGGCTGGACAAGCTTCGCGAGCTGTGGCTGCACGGTAGTCTCGGGTGATCTCGGGTAATCTCGGTAATCTCGGCTGGACAAGCTTCGCGAGCTGTGGCTGCACGGCGCGCGTCGCCTCTGGCCGCCCCTGACGCCGTCCCACGACGCCCCGCCGCGCCGTGCGCGTGCCAACTTGCCCCGCCCCTCCCCCCAACGCCCCTCCCGCCCCTCCGGCCGTCGGCCGTCCGCCACTCGCCGCCCAGACCGCCGCCTTGCATGCCGCCGCCTTGCATGCCGCCGCCCGCCATGCCGACAGCCGCCCCCATCCCTGCCCCACGCACGCCCACTGCGCGCCCTTCCCCCACTCCTCCCGCTCCTCCCTCCCGCTCGCACGCCCGGCTCGCACCGTGTGCCTCGGCCAATCTCGGCCAATCTCGGGTAATCTCGGGTAATCTCGGGTGATCTCGGGTAATCTCGCACGCCCGGCTCACACCGTGTGCCGACTCAGGCAACTTGCTGACTTGCCTCCCCGCGGAGCTGGGTCAGTGCGCATCGCTCACCGTCCTCCAGGCGCACCACAACCGCCTCGCGGAGCTGCCCGCCGCCCTCGGCGCGCTCCGCCGGCTGCGAGTGTCTAGGAGGTGTCTAGGAGGTGTCGAGGAGGTCTCTGGGAGGTGTCTGATAGGCGCGCTCCCCCGGCTGCAGGGGCTCTACCTCCAGTCCAACAGGCTCGGAGGGTCGCTGGCCGCGCTGCGCCAGAGGGTGCTGCGTCACTTGCCGCTGCAGAACCTCGCCCTCGGCGCCAACGCCTTCGACCTCGCCGAGGCGTCAGAGCTGGCCTCTGAGCTGAGCGGCAGCGCAGCCCGCGCAGTCACCTCCTCCGGCCACTCCGGCGCGGCGCGGATCGGGTTCGGCTGGGACGTGTCCAGGAAGTGTCTAGGAAGTGTCTAGGAAGTGTCTCATAGGCGCGGCGCGGATCGGCCTCGGCTGGAACCGCGGGACGCCGCCTGCGGCGCTGCGCGACGTCCTCACCGACCGTCTCGCGACAACCGACCACTTCTTCGAGCCGATGGCGGCGGGCGTGCGAGGTGACGTCCTCCTCGTCGCCTTCTAGGAGCCTTCGAGGAACCTCGTAGGAGCCTTCGAGGAGCCTTCTAGGAACCTTCTAGGTGACGTCCTCCTCGTCGCCTTCGCCGCCCAGGGCCCCGGCATGCAACAGTGGGCCGCGCCGTGCGCCGCCGCGCGCGCAGCCGGCGTGGCCGTCGACGCGCTCTTCCTCGCCCGACCCGTCAACCTTCTAGGAACCTTCTAGGAACCTTCTAGCAACCTTCTAGGCCCTCTACCTCGCCGACCCGTCGAACTCGTACTACCTGCAGGACCCGGCCGGCGGGTGGGGCGGCTACTTCTAGGAACCTTCTAGGACCCTTCTAGGAACCTTCTAGGACCCGGCCGGCGGGTGGGGCGGCGTACGCTACTTTGAGCGGCTCATCCGAGCCCACACGGCCGGCTACGCGCGCGTCCTCCTCGTCGGCTCCTCGATGGGCGGCACCGCCGCGCTGCTGCACGCGCACCTCGGCCACCGCGCCGTCTCGTTTGGCGCGCGGGTGGACCTGCGCCTGACGTGTCCAGGAAGTGTCCAGGAAGTGTCTAGGAAGTGTCTCATAGGCCCGCGGGTGGACCTGGACCTGACGCACGGCGCGCACGTGCCGGCCGAGCCCAGGCGCGCGTGCACCGCGCGCGTGCGACACGCCCTCGCGGTGATGCACGCGCGAGGCGGCCGTGCGGCCGTGCACGTCGGCGCGGGCAACGCCGTCGACATGATGCAGGCCCGGCTCGTCGCGCACGCGCCGGGGCTCGCCCTGCATGAGCACGACACCTTCCACCACAACGTGCCCATGTTCCTCGAGCGCGAGGGCCTGCTGGTGCCGCTGCTGAAGCGCGAGCTCCTCGCGCTGCTCCAGGGGTAGTCGTCGCCGCCGGACCACGCTGTAGTGTATGTCGCCGCCGCAAGTACAAGATAGTACGCAGGTAGGATAGCGCCCCTGTGGAACTGACTGTAGACGGGGCCTCGTGTCGTGTGGCCCGAAATGTTTCCCATCCGCGGGAGAGAGCTAGGGAGAGAGTTTACTTTAGCCCCCCGCCCAAGGCGAGTTTTTTTGTAAAAAAAATGTTCCAGTTTTAGCAAGCAAAAGGGAGCACACACGACTTAGCAAGTCCGCACTAGCGACTGCCACTCGCCTAACCATGCCTCGTCACAAGTGCTCTCCCAATCGCGTACAGGCACACACACTCCGCCTGTTCTCACCCAAACACTCTCTATCACACCCTTGCCTCCCTGCCAGAGCGAGCTAGATTCTCCCCGCCTCCCTCCCGCCTCTGCCGCGCGCCTTCGATGGACGTCAAGTGCCGCACCTAGGGGGAGAGAGGGGGTTTGCCCTGGTAGGGAGGTGGCGAGGCCGCGCACTGCAAACCCAGTGTGAGGAGTGGGGGAGCTGGGACAGGGCGTGTGCGCCTCTGATCTGTCATGGTCTAGTGGCCGATAGGATCCTCCCTTAGGCAGCGATGGCGGGTCGGGAGAGGCCCGAGTTCTCAGCCCGCCACTTACTGTCAGCCTCTCTCTGACTGCCCAGGGTCTCACCACGATGCCGCCCGAGTAGAGGGGGTAAGGTGTGTAGAGTGCGGCTGTGTATGGAACCTCTCTCTCTGTGGATCCCACCTGAGCGCACTCGCGGTGCGAAGGCTCCTAATGCGGCAACTGAGCCCGCAAGGGTGGGTCACTAAGGGAGAGGTTACGTTGGATGATATGTTGTGTTGTGGCGTAAAGCTGTGCAGCGGCGCAGCGAGCCCTGCCGCGGCTCGTCGTCGAGACTGGTCGGTGGGTGGTGCCTGTAACAGCTGAGGCAGGGAGGCTGCCTGAGTAGCGCAGCCGCTCGGTCGCCCGAGGATATCTCTTTTTTTTGCTGCAATAGTTACAGAGGCGATCAAGATAAATATATATTGCAACAGTTAGAGGAGAGGCTGGGCCTGGGCTGGTCAGGACCGTCGGGCTGCACTCAGCATATCAATATATCCAGCGGTGGCGGTCCATGCCGGGCTTGAAAATGGCTCTAAATCGTTCAAAAGTAAACGGGCCCAAATCGCTTCAAAATCGCTTAAATCGCATTAAAATCGCTGTGAACTTGCGATTTTTTTCGATTTCAGCCCACATCTAGGCGATGTTTGGGACAAATGTCGACATTTGGTGCTCTTGGAGGTTAAAATCAGCGATCGACATGTCAATATATTGTCAATAGTTAGAGGGGATGCTGTCAATAATCAATATCAATAGTTACAGGAGCGAGAATCAACATTTATCGACTGCCTTACCATGGCGCTGTTCACAGCGCGCGCGGACGGCGGCTCTGCGCGTTCCGCTCAGCAGGACTTTTGTAAAGCGTGCTTGTGGCAGGTTACAGACGCTAGTATCGACCTCAGAGACCCAAACCCGAATTAATAATTAAGGCGCTCAAAGTATGGTCAAACAACCGTTGAACAAAACAGGTCAAACAACGACATCCGACTAGTGCGACCGCTAGACGGCGGTCTCCGCCGGCCCCAAGGCTGCCCAGCCCCAGCACCACACCGGCCACGTACACCGTGGCGCTGGAGTCGGTCAGTGAGGCACTAGACGGGCTACGGAACCATGCGCGCGCCGGCCAGACAGGCTGCGCGCAGCGAGGGGCCGCGCCGCCTCGATTTTGCATCTCCGCTCCGCGGCCGTGCGACTGACGGGCCAGCTCGCCCGGCGACAAGCCCAGCCATCGCCCAGCGCCCCGTACCGACGGGGGCCTTGCAAAAAACCCGCACCTCCGACGGTGATCGAGCACGTGAGGGGGGGCGTCGGTGTTGGCCGCGGGTGGGCTGCGAGGAAGGCGCGGGGGGGAGCAACCATGGGAGATGCACCACCGCTCGACGAAGACGCGCCCGACGAAGCCCTGCTAGCGGAGGATCGACCATCCTCACCTAATAGCGTCGAGCGTGTGCGAAAAAGAGCGCAAATCGGAGCTCAACTCGCGCGCGGCGGGAAAGAGGTGTGGCGAGGAGCTGCTGCACTGCCCCCAAACGCGCTCGGGCGGCACGTCGGCGCGCCTGCGGGGTGGGTAGAGGTGAAACTAGGCTTGCTGGCACGCACATCCCGCACCACCCCCGCGCCCGCGCGCACCATGCCGCCGTCCCACCTCACAGCCAAGCGCGATCGCCGACGCACGCAGCGACGCCGAGCGGTGGCCTCGCAGACGACGAGCGCTCGTGTGGCCGGCGCGTGCCAGCCGCTGGCCCGTCCAGCGTGGCGGAACCGGCTCGCCCATCCGCATTCGGTAGCAGCTTTCCGCCATAATCACCTTTCGAGAGCCTGGGTTGTGGGGACGCTGAGGCGCCGTCGCTGGGCCGCCGGTATCGTTTCGAATGCGATCTCGGGCGGGAGCCCTGGCGAGCCCTGACGAATTACGGCAGGTTTTTGGATTTCGTTTAAAAGAAAGGGGGCCTGGTTTCTTTTGCGAGCGAAAGAAGATTATACTTCCAAAAAGAAGAATTTAAACAAGACAACTAAGAAGTGCACACATTCGCGTTCTCGTCGCGGGCGGGGGGCCGGGGGTGGAGGGGGTGGGGGTGGGGGGGTTCGGGGCGGGAGGTGTCGGTGTCGGTCGAGAGAGGCTTGGACCTTCGTTGGCACGCCTTTTGGCTTTGCAACGGGCGTGTGTGCGCGCGTGTCCGAACCACCCTCTGGCGGTCCCACGAAAAAGAAATTCGTTCGTGCACCAGAGTCATGGTTAGTAATAAATAAATAGAGCAGTCATCTCCAGGGAGAGATGGGCGACGCATGGTGAGTGAGTACTTCCCGCCCTGTTGCTCGCGTATTTCTTTTTTCTCCCAGAAAAGAAAGTCCCCGGATCCCCCGCCCAACTCCTGGGCGTATAGGGCACGCTCAAAACCCTCTCCGCATTCCCCTTTTTTTGTCGTTTTCACCCCCCCCCCCCCCGTGGAGAAAGTTTTGGCGTACGCGGTTAGTTCGATAGCCTGGTTTTCC